GATTAGCCTGTATTGCTATAAACTTCCCTCTTAGAACAGCTTTTGCTCCTTCCCAAAGATTTTGGAGCATTGGGTTTTCATTTTTATTTGTCTCCATGAATTTTTTTTATTTCTTCTTGGATTTCTTGGTTGACCCATTCATTGTTTACTAACATATTATTTAACCTTTGTGTATTTATGCTCTTTCAAGATTTTTTCTTGTGGTCCATTTCTAGTTTCATAGCATGGTGGTCAGAAAAGATGTATGATATGACTGCGATCTTTTTGAATTTGTTAAGACTGGTTTTTGTGGCCCAATATGTGATCTATTCTGGTAAAGGTACCATGTGCCTTTGAAAAGAATGTGCATTCTGCTGCTTTAGGATGGAACATTATGAATATATGTGTTAAGTCAATCTGGTCCAGTGTGTCATTCAAAGGCACTGTTTCCTTGTGGATTTTCTGTTCTGATTATCTGTCCACTGATGCACGTGTAGTGTTCAAGTCCCCTACTATTATTGTATTACTATCAATTAATTTCTTTATATTTGCTATCAGCTGTTTTATGTATTTGGGTGCTACTGTGTTGGGTGCATAAATATTTACAATTGTTATGTCTTCTTGTAGGATTTTCTCCTTAATGATTATATAGTGTCCTTCCTTGTCTCTTACTGTAGTCTTAAATTTAAAGTCTACTTTGTCTGTTACCCTGGCTTTCATTTCATTTCCATTTACCTGATAAATACTTGTCCATCCTTTCTTTCAATCTTTAGGTCTAAAATGAGTCTCTTGTAGACAGCATATAGACGGGTCTTGTTTTTTATCCATTCTGTCTCCCTACATCTTTTGATTGGAGTATTTAGTCTGTTTACATTCAAAGTAATTATTGATAGGTATGTACCTATTATAATTTTGTTACTTGTTTTATCGTTGTTTCTATTGATTTTTTTTTTTTATCCTTTCATGTCTTTCTCTTTTTCCTGGCTTTGTGGCTTTCTTTAGTGATATATGTGGATTTCTTTCTCTTCATACTTTGCATATCTATTACTGGTTTTTGATTTGTGGTTACCGTAAGATTTGTATATAATGAATATATAGCAGTCTTCTGTATATAGCAGTCTATATTAAGTTGATGAATACTTAAGTTTGAACCCATCCTTTACTCCTCTCCCCTCACCCCACATTTTATGTATTAGTGTCATACTTTACGTCCTCTTATTTTATGAATCCCTTGACTGATTATTATAGATTATTTATTTTTACTGCTTTTGTGCTTCCTACTATTCTTACTCTTAATTATGGTATTTCCTTTCCACTCAGAGAGTCCCCTTTAACTTTTTTTTTTTTTAGATTTTATTTATTTATTTGACAGAGAAAGACACAAAGAGAGAGGGGGAACACAGCAGAGAGAGTGACAGAGGGAGAAGCAGGCTTCTCGCCAAGCAGGGAACCTGATGCAGTGCTCAATCTCAGGACCCTGGGATCATGACCTGAGTTCAAGGCAGATGCTTAAGAACTGAGCCACCCAGGCACCCCCCATTTAACTGTTTTTATAGGGTTGGTTTAGTGGTATGAATTCCTCTAACTTTTGTTTGTCTGGGAGGCTCATCATCACTCCTTCTATTCTATCCTTGCTGGATAGAATATTCTTGGCTACAAGTTATACATTTAATATATCATGCTACTCTTTTTGGCCTGCAAAGTTGAAAAATCCACTGATAGCCTTATGGGTTTTCCCCTGTATGTAACTGTTTTCTCTGGGCACTTTAAAAATTCTTTCTTTATCACTACTTTTTGCTATTTTAATTACTGTGTGTCTTGGTGTGGATCTCCTTTTGTTGATTTTGTTAAGGGATCTCTATGCCTCCTGTATCTGAATTTCTATTTCCTTCCCCAGATTAGAGAAATTTTCAGGTATTATTTCTTCAAATAAATATTCTGTCCCCTTTCTCTTCTTCTTCTGAAATCCCTATCATGCGAATATTATTACCATGGATAGAGTTACTGAGTTTCCTAAGTCTATTCTCATTTTGCATAATTACTTTTTCTCTCACCTGCTCAGCTTAATTATTTTCCATTACTCTGTCCTCTAGGTTGCTGATTTGTTCTTCTGTTTCTAGTCTGCCATTTATTCTGCCTAGTATACTTTAATTTCCATTACTGTGTTCTTCATCTCTGGTTATTGGTTTGTCTTTTTTTTAAATCTCTTTGTTGAGGGTCTCACTGATGTTCTCCAGTGTTTTCTCAAATCCAATATCCTAATGACCAGTGCTATAAATTCTCTATCGGGCATGTTATTTATCTCAGTTTTGTTCAGATCTCTTGCTGTGATTTTTGTCCTGTTCTTTCATTTGGGACATATTTCTCTGTCTCCTCATTTTGTCTAACTCTCTGTGTCTGTTTCTATGTGTGAGGAAAGTCAGCTCTTGAAAGTAGTGGGCCGAGTGAGCAACTTTAACAAGGTGGAGCTGGTCCTTTGCCAGAAGGAATGTGTCTCCTGTGCCAAGGTGGGTCCAGCTGGTACAATCTGGAAAGTGTGCATAGGTGCAGCACACAGTTTTAACAAGGTGTGTGCATAGCCATGGGAGATGACAGGTCACTGCCACAGAGATCAAGGCCCTGCAAAGTGTGTGATCAGGAAAAGTACTGAAAGGTTTGCATGGGTCTTCTGGGGGAGGGGAGCTACAGTTAAGGGACTAAGACAAACCCAGGGGGAGGCAGTGAGGCACAGTGTAAGCAAATTAGGTAGTGAATGCCGGCTCCCCACTGGTTCCTGCAGGTGGAATTGCTCTGTGATTAATAAATAAGTCTTCCTCCCCTATGCACCAGGCAATTTTCAAACTGTTGCTGTTTCTAAGCTGTGACTTTAGGGGCTGTTTGTCATGCTGTCTCTTTAAGGGTAGGGACTGTTTCCAACCACCCTCCAGGCTCTCCCAGACCAGAACCTACTGATTTTTAAAGTTCCAGGATTTAAGTCCCTCTAGGTGAAAGAACTCCAGAAATTTGGTCCTTTTAGTTTTCAAAGCCAACTGCTGTGGGGATTTGTCTCCACCATGTGGGCTCCAGGCTGCAAAGGTCAGTTTCTCTTCCCTGTCTGAGACTGCAGCTCCCTCCCTCCTGCTGAGGACCATGGTCTATTTAGCTCCCTGCTGGGACTCTACCCTTCCTACCCTCTTCAATGTGGCCTCTTCTCTCCATTTAGTTGTTGACTTTGTTCCACTAATCTTCAGGTCATTTTCTGGGTTATTTACACTGATGTGATTGTTATCTAGTTGTATCCATGGAACAAGGTAAACTTAGGGTCCTATTACTCCACCATTTTCCCTAACTCAGCTATCTCTTTTTTTTTTTTTTAAGATTTTATTTATTTATTTGAGAGAGAGAGAGAGCAAGAGCAAGAGAGCAAGAGAGAATGAGTGGGAGGAAGAGCAGAGGGAGAAGCAGACTCCCCGCTTAGCAAGGAGCCTGATGTGGGACTCAATCGCAGGACCCTGGGATTAGGACATGGGCTGAAGACAGACACTTAACCGACTGAGCCATCCAGGAGTCCCTCAGCTATCTAACTCTTAATGTCAATCTGTTCATATATTCAGAATGATGTCTAAACTGACATTCACTAATCTTGGACACCAATAATTTTTGACTTGGGAGATCTCTGTTCATTTTTTAACTTTTTCTTTGCATTTTTTTTTGTATTGCCAGATATATTTCCATGAATAACATGAGGACATTTTGTTTGTTTGTTTGTTTCCTTCATGGAGTACATGGATTATTATTCTTAGAATTAAAAATTAACATATTTTAATGAAAATATAATTCAACTTGGGCTTCAGTGTCAGACAAGGCTAAATTCAAATCCTGGATTTATTACAGCCTGGCTGTGTGACTTCAAGCAAGTCCCCTAGCCTCTCTTAGCCTTCATGGAAAATGGAGATATTTACCTTTAACAGCCATGATTGGGGTTTGAGATGGTCTCAAACAGTTAACACAGTGCCTGGCAATAGAAGGTGCTTACCCAACAAATGAGAACCATGTATCATTTCTATTAGTGTAATCCCAGTGTGTTGCTTCTGTTTGTATCTTTAAATTTTCCCTACTTGTCTACTTTCAACAAAGCGCTTTGTCACCAAGAATTTGGTATTAAACAACTATCGTGTCTGTTCCATGTGAGCGAGGCTGCCAGTGGGAGCCCCAGTCTAGTCCCTAGGCTAGGGTACATATGCTCTCTCCTATGTACATTCTAAAATTGTATGGGCTAGTTGCAAACACTATTTCCTAGTTGCAAACACTATTCAACTGAGAGGTGTTTCTGTATCCAGGCCAGCCTACTGCAGAGAACACTGGGGTTTTATGTTGTTTCATGTGTTTTTATTTTTGGTAAAGATTGGTTTGAATGAGCACACTTGTCATTCTGTTCTTCTGAGGTTATGACTTGCTGTTAGTAGTGTTACAATTATGACTTGCACGTAGTAGTGTTACTGTGACGTTCCATGGATTGTAAACAATTACATTCCATGGATTGTAAATAATTGTAAACTGTATTTGTAAACAATTAAAATCTTCCTCTGGCGGCTTCCTTCCTGGATGGAGCTTAGTCTAGTCTCAGACTCATTTGTCCCCTGTGTGCCCTACTTCCTCAATTCTAGCTTGCAGAGGGCGTTACTTCCCAATACAACACCACCCAGATCTTTAACCTTATGTTGTCCTTGGAATAATCTTTACAGAAAAGAAAGTTCTAGTGCTTAAACAGTCTGGGTTATATACCCACATGGTTTTCTTTTCCATACTGATTTTTCACCCTTTCTTCCTTGTGCAGCTAGGCTCTCATGGAGACCAAAGCATCCCTACTTTTTATAGGGCTGAGACCTGAAAAGCATCACCTAGTAAAATTTTCGGTCCCACAGTGCATCACAATACCGTTTGAATTTTCTATCCCACAGTGCATCACAATAACCTTTGAATGATGTAAAGGGATCAAGTCCTATAACTCTGCAGTGTGCCTTTGCAGGATATCCAATACAAGGAGGCAGCTGAAATAACCACTGTCCTCAGAAGACTGTCTTTAAGAACAAAGAGGGTTCTACACACTGCAGCCCAAGCAGGTAACAACAGTCTGGTCATTACCACCCAAACGTCTCTCCTCTCACTTAGTGGTTGCATTACTAAATAGCTGGTTGAATTTTGGATGTTCTGGAGATAACAGCTCACAATTAAAGAAACTCTGTGGCAAAGCATTTTGAAAAGCCAAGAAATCTTTCAGAAAGGGAATATGCATACCTCTCAGCTTCAAATTATTGAGCAGATTTAGCTCAACATTTTTTTTCTTAGAAATGAGGTCTTTAACTCATGTTATAAACTGTTTATCCTCAGGGGTAAGTGGGTGGCTCAGTCAGTTAAGCATCCAACTCTTAATTTCAGCTCAGGTCATGATCTCGGGGTCCTGGGATTAAACACTGTGTTGGGCTCTGCTCAGCAGGGTGTTTCTTTCTCTCTCTACCCCTCCCCATGCCTGCTTTTTCTCTCTCAAATAAATAAAATCTTTTTTTAATAAAATCTTTTGAAAAAAAAAAAGAAATGAGGTCTTTAGGGGTACCTGGGTGGCTCAGTCGGTTAAGCATCTGACCACTCTGGAACCCAGAGAAGAGGGCTTCTAGGCGATGGCACTAGGGGATGGATATCCCCAGGGGGCCAACTCCCCCCAATACCTTGCTTACCTGTATCACACCTCCAAGGTAAGGAGGCCCCCAGGACTCTGGGGTTATGAAGTACATCTAGAAAACCAATTGTTGTGGCTTATATACCAGTTTAAATGCCTCTCCCTATTTCTTGTCTTTTCCCCAAATTACCAATAAATAACAGAATCTTGGGACCCTGTCCAATAGCCTGCCTCTTCCCCTTCTTTGGACAGATTAATTAAATGATAAAACTTGCTAGTTATTTAATTGAGGTTCACAAGCTGACTAACCTTACCAGGCAGTTACTACTGGTTCCATTCACTACCATACTGGGAGGACCTAACCTCTGACGTAACAAATAATATTTTTAGCTCTTTTCTACCATAAAAATTGATGCCAACTTAAAATTTTAAACCTCAGAAAGCCGATCTCCATGAGGAAAGCGTATCACATGCTTCATATCAGGGAAAATGTTCAGGTGAGACATCTGTTCTTGGAGCCTTTTCCTTTAAAATTATGAAAGAGGGGGTTGGGAGTGGGGGTGGGGACACGGCCATTCAACTTCTGGAAAGGTAACTTGTCAAGGATTCTGTTTCAGCAGCTATGAGCTTTGATTGCGTATCAACTTGTGCAACACTGTGATTAATATCTGACTTCAATTCTTCCACCAGGTAAGTAACATAAGAGCAGGACCACATGTCTCTTGCTAAATGCTTTTTCCCTTACGCCTGGTGCAGTGCCAAGCAAAGGTAGTTGATCAATCAGTATCTGTTGAGTGAATCAATGAATCAGTGGCACTGTAGCAGAAGGTGAAGGGTATTGGAGTCAGACAGATTTGTGGGTTTTTGCTTGTTTACTGGCTGTGTAACCTTCAACATGAAATTTAACTTCTTCTGGATATTCAGGACTCCTGTGAGGACTGAGTGAAGTAGTGTGCGTGCCAACAGTTGGGGGGATAACGAGCATTCCCTCAGAATGAGGTCTCTTCCATCCCTTTTCAACAGAGGGTGGTTGATCTTTTTCAAAATTGTTTTGGCTACTTTAGTTCCCTTGCATTTCCAAATAAACTTTATAATAAACTGGTCTATATCTACAAAAACTCCTGCTGGCAAGTTTGACCAGATAAACCAGATCAGTGTGGAGAGATTGTCATCTTTGTGCTGTCAAGTCTCCCAAACCATGACCATAGTGTATCTCTCAGATCATCTTTGATTTCTTCCATCAACATTTTTTAGCCTTCAGCATCCGGCAGCTGTACACGTCTTGTTAGACTGGTGAATAATGTTTCTCTCTTTTTTAGCTACTGTAAATATTTGTGTTTTTTTTTTTAATTTTAGTTATTTATGTGAGAGAGAGAAGTTGGGGTGAGGGCGAGGAGCAGAAGGAAAGGGACAAGCAGACTCTGTGTTATGTGAGGAGCCCCATGTGGGGTTCAGTCTCATGACCCTGAGATCATGACCTGAGCCTAAACCAAAAGTAGAACATTCAACTAACTGAGCCACCCAGGTGCCCCAATAATTGCGTTTTAAATTTTGGTTCCAATCCTTTATTTACAGTATAGAAATGTAAGGCAGCGGGGTGGCTCAGTTGGTTAAGGGTCTTTGGCTCAGATCATGATCCCAGGGTCCTGGGTTCGAGCCCCTCTTCAGGCTCCCTGCTCAGCAGGAAGCCCGCTTCTCCCTCTCCCTGCCCTCAACTCATGCTCTCTCTCTCTCTCTCTCAAATAAATAAATAAAATCTTTTTAAAAAGTAAAGTATAGAAATGCAATTATATGTGTTGATCTTGTATCCTATGATCTTGTTAAAAACAGTTATTTGTTTTAAGAGTTTGTTTGTAGGCTCCTTGGGATTTTCTAAGAGTTTGTAGGCTTCTTGGGATTTTCTACATAGACAATTATATCATTTGTAAATAGGGACAATTTTCTTCCTTTCCATCTATATGCCTTATATTTCCCACTCCAGACTTATTGCTCTGTGTAGGAATGGTGAGAGAGACATTCTTGCTTTGTTGCTGATTTTTAGGAAGAAATCAGTCTTTCACTGTTAAGTATGATGTTAGCTATACATTTCTATAGATATTTCTTACTAGGTTGAAAACATTCCCTCATGGCTGGCTGAGAAATTTTACCATAAATTTTTATCACGGGTTTTTAATCAGATTTTTGACTGTTATTCTATTTTACAGAATTCTGATGTAATCCAGGAAATATTCTATAATTTCCAAAAGTTGCTGAGAAAGTTGACAAGATAAATCTTTTTTTAAATTTTTTTTTATTTATTTGACACAAAGAGAGAGAGACAGATCATGTAGGCAAAGAGGCAGGCAGAGAGATAGGGGGAAGCAGGCTCAATCCCAGGACCCTGAGATCATGACCTGAGCCGAAGGCAGAGACTTAACCCACTGAGTCACCCAAGTTCCCTGACAAGATAAATCTTATATCTTTGTTTCTGAAGTCAGTATCTTGACTATTAAGGCTGAGGAAGTTTCTTGCAATGTATATCTCATACTCGTTTACCTTAGTTTAATTGCTTCTTTTCAGTTGGACTTTTGGCTAAGATCAAGTGCGTTACCTTAGTTCACCTCCTGAACTTCAGCATAATAAAAAATTCAATTGTTAAACTTTAATTTCTGTGTCCTGGGAGTCTAACCATAATGGTTTATGGGCCAGTGTTAATTAATTGGAAGTGGTTAAAATTCTCCTAAATAGGAGCTATGCCCAAATTTTATCTCATTCTTACAAATGTATCTTAAGAAATAAATTCCATAGAATCAAATACAGTTATGCTAGCATGACCAAAATATCCAACATTACAGCTGGGTTTCATAAATTATGGTATATTCAGTTACTCAATAAACATTTATGAAATGCCCACCATATGTCAGTTATTATCTTTGGCCCCTAGGGATACAGCTATGAGAACAAAAGACACTTTCCTGCCTTCTTGGAGCTTACTTTCCAGTGGGGGGACAGACATAAATAAGGTACATAAATAAACATGCAATATGGCAGATACTGATGAGTGTTTTGGAAACAAAGCATAGAGCATGGATAAGAAGTTCGGGCATGGGAGTGGAATAGGGTACTAGTTTAAATAAAGTGAAAGGTGGACCTCACCAACCAATATAAAGGAACATTAAATATTAGAATTAAGTACACTCTGTAGCAACGTGGTAAACTTTTCATATCTTATCAAAAAAAGGATATTAAATAGGATGTCTGCTGGGGTCAAGAATTTAAGTATTTGCATATATATGTAATATAAAAAATGAAAACAGTTGTTTGTGGATAATTTTAATATTATTTTACAGCATTGTTTACTCTGAGCATAATTATGTTTTCAATTTAAAACAAGAAAAACATTTGGGTGCTTGGGTGGCTCAGTTGGTTAAGCATCTGACTCTTGGTTTCTGCTTGGGTCATGATTTCAGGGTCATGAGGCTGAGCCCTGGGTCGGGCTTCACGGGAAGCAGGGAGTCTTCCTAAGAGTCACTCTTGCTGCCCCTCCCCCTCTCTCAAATAAATAAATCTTAAAAAAAAAAATGAGAAAAGTCTGTAAGGTTCCCTAAGGCTAATTTGAAGTTGAATGAAATGTGTGAGGAGGATACAGAGAGAACTCACGTTTGCTCTGGAAAAATTTGATTTGGGGTACAGCTGAGAAAGAAGCTTCTACTGAAGCGACTAATTAAAATTACATAGATTTTTTTCGTTACGTTGTTCAGGGTGCCGAGAACAGTGGTTGTGCAGGGTTGGCTGTGAGCATGGAAATGATGGCAAGTTTAACATGTGTTCATAATTATCTCATTCAGCTTTGGCATGCAAACCTATTTTTTAAGATTGACTAAAATAAAATGTACTGACATGTCTTCCTGCAGACGACATTTTCCTCTGCGTTCAAGAGATGACAACTAATCACACAAGATGTGACTTGGTATCTATGTGGTAGCCCAGTTTCCTAAAGATGCAGAAAGACAGGTTACAACCATTGCCAGACAACGTCTTCCGAAGATTCCGGGAGCTTATGCTTAGACTCCATGCGGGCTGTTCATGTGTTCTTCTGAAAATGTTTTTGTGGCATGGCCAAAGCATGGCAGCCCGGGCCTGGCTTATTCCCTCTGGTGTTGATTCAGAATTTCTAGGCACTGAGCAATCACTCTATCGTGAATGGCAGGCGCAGTGTTGTCTTCATGAGGCACAAATGTCCTGAATATCTTGCATTCTTCTCTCCAGCATGTCACTTCTCATGAAGGAAAAGCCCAGCAGTCACAAAGCTTTCCGAGTTTAGGCAAGAGCTCGATGGTATTTACTCAAATTTTCTCTTCTGTTCTTTCTTCCCTTTTTATTTTTTTCCTAATAATCACACAAGGGCTAAAAGAAAAAAAAAAAAAACATTATCTAATGAACAGTTTCCATTGGATAGCCAAATAGTCTGTGACAATGTAATCTGGCTTGAAAATGTTCTAGTTGCTTGAAAAACACACTCAGAGGTGACAGAACGCAGCTAGCTGGCCTGTGGGCAATGCGTTGACTGGTGTTGACTAGAGTAGGGGAGAGGGAGGCCCCATACACTGTTTTCTCTCCCAGGGAAACCTGTCTCCCTCCCGGTTACTGCCTCCTGGGGGCTGTCCCGGTTTTGTTTTCGCTGGTGGTCGGGGTGTCCTGGGGTTGTTCAATATAGCTTAAGAATACTCTCAAGATAACTGTCTCTGGAACCAAATGGGTTCCCATCCTGATTCCTCAGTGACCTTGTACAAGTTACTCTACTTCTCAAGCCTTCAGGTTTCTTGTCAGTAATGTAGTGGGACCACTTCACAGGGTTTCTGGAAGGCTCAGAGAAGTTAGTTAATTCATATCACCTGACACATAATATATGCCCGTAGGTAGAAACTCAAATTTCTGTTTTCTCAAAGTTGCTGTTTTGGTTACAGAACATACACACGCATTATTGCTCACTTGACCCTCCAGAGAGGTATTGTAATCAACAGTGTACAGAGCGAGGGGCCTTCGTCTGTTCCAGCTGCCATAACAAATTACTGTAGAATGAGTGGTTTCTAAACATCAGAAATTTATTTCTCACAATTCTGGAGGCTGGAAGTCCAAGTTCAAAGCGCCCCTGTGGTCAGGTTCTGGTGAGAGCCCTCTGCTGGACTGCAGGCTGCCAACTTCCTGTGGGCTCCCCACGTGACAGGAAGAGGGCGGAGCTCTCTGGGGTCTCTTTCCTAAGAGCACTAGCTCTGTTCATGGGGGATCCACCCCCAATACTTTCCAAGAGCTCCGCCCTCAAGTACCACGGCTTTGGGTTCAGGGTATAACATGTGAATGTGAGGGGCCCAGAGGTAGGGTGTGAGACTCCTTTCAGTGTTCTCCTGCTACACTGTTCTTCGCCATGTTTATGCAAATAGAGGCCCAGCTGTCTCTATACACATATAATATGAACACAGTACAAAATTTATAAGATGCACAAAAGGTAAACCATAAAAGAGTAAGGCTTTGTCCCTCCTCTGTCCACCAGGCATTCCCTTTGTTTCCCCAGTCTTGACTTTTTCTCAAGTGAATATTTATTTTTTTAATGAATTAATTAATTTTTTTATTATGTTAGTCATCATACAGTACATCCTTAGTTTTTTTTGTTTGTTTGTTTTTTGGTTTTTTTGTGTGTTTTTTTTTAAGATTTTTAATTTATTTGTTGGACAGACAGAGATCACAACTAGGCAGAGAGGAGGAAGCAGGTTCCCCACTGAGCAGAGAGCCCGATGCAGGGCTCAATCCCAGGACCCCGGGATCATGACCTGAGCCAAAGGCAGAGGCTTTAAACCACTGAGCCACCCAGGCGCCCCACATCCTTAGTTTTTGATGTAGTGTTTCATGATTCATTGTGTGTAACACCTGGTGCTCCATGCAATCTCCTCCTCTGATTCCCCCCCTTCATTTTCCCCTTCCTTCTCCTAACGTCCTCCATGTTATTCCTTATGTTCCACAAGTAAGTGAAACCATATGATAATTGACTTTCTCTGCTTGACTTTATTCACTTAGCATAACTCCTCCAGTTTCATCCCTGTTGATAAAAATGTTGGTTATCATCCTTTCTGATAGCTGAGTAATATTCCATTGTATATATGGACCACATCTTCTGTATCCATTCATCTATTGAAGGGCATCTCGGCTCCTTCCACAGTTTGGCTATTGTGAACATTGCTGCTATGAACATGGGGTGCATATGGCCCTTGTTTTCAATACATCTGTATCTTTGGGTTAAATGCCCAGTAGTGTAATTGCTGGTTCATAGTGTAGCTCTATTTTCAACTTTTTGAGGAACCTCTGCACTGTTTTCCAAAGTGGCTGTATCAACTTGCATTCCCACCAACAGTGTAAGAGGGTTCCTCTTCCCCCACAACCTCCCCAACATTTATTGTTTCTCGCCTTGTCAATTTTTGCTATTCTAACTGGTGTAAAGTGGTATCTCAGTGTGGTTTTGATTTGAGTCTCCCTGATGGCTAATGATGATGAACATTTTTTCATATGTCTGTTAGCCATTTGTACATCTTCTCTGGAGAAGTGTCTATTCATGTCTTCGCCTATTTTTTTTTACTTATTTGTTTTTTGGGTGTTGAGTTTGAGAAGTTCTTTATAGGTCTTGGATATCAGCCCTTTATCTGTAGTGTCATTTGCAAATATCTTCTCCCATTCTGTGTGTTGCCTCTTTGTTTTGTTGACTGTTTCCTTTGCTGTGCAGAAGCTTTTTATTTTGATTAAGTCCCTGAAGTTCATTTGCATTTTTGTTTCCCTTGCCTTTGGAGACATGTCTTGAAAGAATTTGCTATGGCTGGGGTTGAAGATGTTACTGCCTATGATCTCCTCTAGGATTTTTATGTATTTTTGTCTCACATTGAGGTCTTTCATCCATTTAGAGTTTATCTTTGTGAATGGTGTAAGAGAATGGTCAAGTTTCAGTCTTCTGTATATAGCTGTCCAATTTTCCCAGCACCATTTGTTGAAGAGACTATGTTTTTTCCATTGGATATTTTTTCCTGCTTTATCAAAGACTACTTGACCATAGAGTTGAAGGTCCATATATGGGCTCTCTACTCTATTCCATTGGTCTATGTGTCTGTTTTTGTGCCAGTACCATGCTGCCTTGGTGATCACAGCTTTGTAATATAGCTTGAAATCAGGCAACGCGATGCCCCCAGCTTTGTTTTTCTTTTTCAACATTTCCTTGGTGATTTGGGGTCTTTTCTGGTTCCATACAAATTTTAGGATTGTTTGTTCCAGAACTTTGAAAAATGCCATTGGTATTTTGTTTGGAATGGCGTTGGAAGTATAGATTGTTCTGGGCAGCATAGACATTTTAACGATGTTTATTCTTCTGATCCATGAGCATGGAATGTTTCCATATTTTTGTCTCTCCTTAAATTTCTTTTGTAAGTGTTCTGTAGTTTTTAGAGTATAGATCCTTCACCTCTTTGTTTAGCTTTATTCCAAGGTATCTTATGGTTTTTGGTGCTATTGTAAATGGAATCGATTCTCTAATTTCTCCTTCTACAGTTAAACATTGTTAGTGTATAGGAAAGTACCTGATTTCTGTGCATTGATTCTGTAACCTGTCACATTTCAAATGAATATTTAGATGGAGTAGTCTTCTGTGGCAAGTCTTCTTCTCCAGTAGGTGACCAATGCAATATGAATTTGAGCCTAGAAACAATATGTATTGTATGTTCACATCTGGGAAACACAAAAAGTTTGATGTAGAGGATGAGCCACTTACAAAACCACTGAAGGGACAATGAGAAGCAAACTCTGGGGAAGGCCTTCGAGAAGCTTCTAGAACACCTCCACAAAACTGACCCATCGTGGAAGCAGCTACCTGGGCCCTACTCAGGAAGCTGCTTCCAGAACCTCCTCCCAAAGCCGCCACCACTGCAGCACCCGCTCCACACTCCCAAAGATGGACAGCAGGGTTCAGCCACTGCCTTCAATACACTTGCCTCTTGACACCCAATGCTGGAGAAACTCACCATACCACAGCTTCCCAGCCTTGCCTGCCAGTAGAAAAGTTCCAAGCAGCAGTTAGTGGCCTTGGTCTTGTTTCCACCTACTGAGTCTCAGTCCAGTCTGTGGGGTGGGAGGAGTCTAATTCCTACCCAGAGCTCTAGGTGCCAGGGATTCTGGGTGTGAAACACAGAGCCTGCAAGCTTATGTAGTAGGAAGGCACCCTAATCAGGGTGAGAACCAGCTCAGTGGTTTCTGGTTTTATTTTACATTTTTTAAAAGATTTATTTACTTATTTTAAAGAGAGAGCAAGGGGAGGGGCAGAGGGAGAGGGAGACAAGCAGACTTCCTGCTGGGTGAGGAGCCTGATGTGGGGCTCTGTCTCATGACCCTGAGAACATGACCTGAGACAAAATCAAGTGTCGGACCTTTAACCATCTGAGCCACCCAGGTGCCCCAGTAGTTTCTATTTAAAAAAAAAAAAAAAAAAAACTGTATGTATTGGCTTATGTTTTTCACCTTTTTTTTTTTTGTCCTTTTTTTGCAAAAGCCATGGTTAGTCTATCCACTCCTCAGTTTTCTTACTGTTATTTCTTTCAAGACAGACTTGGTGGCACTAGACAGCTCCTGCGTGGAAATGGATGGTGTGTAGAGTGTGTTCACATAATATGATATGTAGTATGTAGTGTGTATGGATTTGCAATATCGACCTTCACTCTGTAATATTTTTTAGATTCCCATCCATCATGGCTGCCATCCGGCTTCGAGAATTTATTGACCGCCGCCCAGTGATCCCACCCAGGTAATGTCCTTGCAGACAGAGATGCCATCCAGAGCTGCCCTGGGGCAGTCGGACACCTGGGGAGCCAACTTGCTCACCTGCTGCTCTCTGATTGACAGCTGCTCCCAGAGGTTCCAGTGACATTTCTTTGGGCTTGGGGAAAGTTAAAAAAAAAAAAATCCCACACTCATGGTAAAATCCAAGCAAACAGGCAACTTCGAACTCCCCGAAGAGGGAAGGATATTGGTTTTTGCTTGGAAAGCCCACATTTTAGTGGGGGGCCCTTTACTCTGCTTGGAATCAAACAGACTCCTTCATCCTTCTGCCATATGGGGGGGGGGTTGCACAGATTGAAACTAAGTAGGATTTTTATGCCTTCTCCCGATTCATAGATGGGCCAAGACTAACAAGTCCTAGATGTGTTTTACTGTGCTAAATTCATTGCTGAGAGATAGTGGATAATAATCTATAGATCCTAACCTCGCCTTCCCTTCACCACTGGCCATGGGGTCTGCAAAGGGTTAGAAGCTATGAAATTCAGGCAGGAACTCTCCCATAGCAAGTGACTTCGGGGTCAGCCTCTTTGGCTTCGTGGTTTCAAGTAAGCCTCATGTTTGTTTTCGTATCTAGTTATTTTTAACAATGTTTAGTCAACAAAGATAAGTCCTTCTGCTTCCAGAAATTACTGAAGTAGGGGCAGCGAAAGGATGCTTTGTTCCTAGATACTATGAGTCCTCTTCGGAGAAGCTCCAGACTACCCTTAACCTACATGAGGAAGAACTGGAGGGAGACAGGGATGGGTTCCCGTATTTCCCAGTTTCTGCCTCCCCACAAGCCCTTGGTCTTTCTGAGTGTGTTTGAGGCCTGTCTTGTCCACTGTCGGGTTATTTAACTGTGGGTCATCCTGGGCAAAATGGAAACAAACCTCCACCAGGTACTGCTGCCCGGAGTTCTGTGGAACTAAGTCAGAGTCACTGGGCCTGGCCTAAGCCAACCTGTGGGGAGTCTGGGGGACGCAGTGCAGGAGGCAGGGGGTCCATGAAGTCCTAAGCGGGGGCTGGATTCTGTTCTCTGTGCTCATCCATCAGAGCCCCACAAGGAGGCAGGCTGCTTGAACTAGGCTGGGGTCCCAGCCTCCCCACCGTACTCATGGTGGAGCTGGTCCTCCTGGACTTGACGCCATTGATCTCTGCAACAGTAGGGGGGGGTCCAACCCTACTGTTCCTCAGGTACCACTGAGGAACCCTTCATGAGGTTCCTCAGTGGTACCTCTGGAATGTTCTCTCCCACACTCAGCTGCCTCTCCCCATCACCCACAGCCAACTGCCCACTCCTGTCCTCCTCCCTCCCCGTCCTCCAGAGGGCGCGCCATGAAATGTAATTTGGATCAAAGCCCTCCGTTGCAGGCAACCCTCCAGGCACTGCATGTGGCATAAAATCTAAACTCTGCTGGGGCCTATAGGGCCCTCCATGAACTGGCCCTGCCCCCACTTCAGCCTCCTCCCTCCTACTGTCTTTCCTTTGTTCCCCCAAGAGGCCCGCCTTGCTCACACCCAGCGCATATTCGCTCATTTCATCTTCACAACGACTGTGAGGTATAGAGGAGAAACTGAGGCATGGAGTACTTAAGTGACTGTCCCAATCCTTGAGATAGGATTTGAAGCCACGGGTCTGGCCCCAACATCTGTGCTCTTGATGCCTGCACTTGGCTGCATGTCCAGGGAGGTGGCTGGGGTGGGCTCATTTGCCCCCCTCCGCCCACCACTGTCACCTCTGCGGAGCCGACGGCCACAAGCAGTAGTTCCTCAGTGCGCATTTGTTGAAAAAAAAAAAATGAACATGAATCAGTGAGTATCTTGTCACAGATTTGTGGCTTGGCATCCTGCTGACTGGCAGACGCTGTGGAAGGCACGGACCTCCTCCTTCCTCTCAGACAACATCGGGTCCCTCCCTACATGCCCAAACCTTGGCTCCTCGTGAGGGAAAATGGAATCACACACTGGCAGGGGCACCTGATAAAATTAAATATTCAAGGGCTCACACAGCTCCCTTAAGAATTGTATCAGATGCAAATGTGACTTGCTGTCACCCCCAGGCGACAGGCCCCCCTCAGGCAGGGCTGAGGGCCAGGTTGGTCTACAAAGCACAGGATGCTCCCAAAACGATTGCTTCGTGTGGAGGAAGCACAGTGCAGTGTGGAAGAGAAAAGATAGCAAATTTCTGTCAAACATAAGATGGATTTTTAAAACACCACCTGAAGTGGTGTCTGGGAGACCCAGAGGCAGCTGTTCCTTCCCAGAGCCATGACAGCACCTACCACAGATCACCAAGGATGTTCACATTGTCTGGTTGACTCATGGAGTCATTCCAAAGGGGTGATGGTGCCCCACACTTTACTGACAGGGAACCTGAGGGTCCCCTCTTCCTTGAGGGGATAACGAGTCTGGGAGATGGCAGAGCGGGCATGGTGTTGTCCCATCCTCTGTGCTGACTTGCTCATGTCCTCTCTAAGTGACTCATTCCCCTGAGCCTGTTCCTGGCCCAGCGCTTACTCATTGTGTGTGATGAGTTAGTGCCTGAGTGTGGTTTCCCTACCAGATCGTGAACTCTTGGGTAGAAGACAGTATTTATCATCACTGTGTCCCTAGCACCTGGCCCATGGCGGCCACAGTAGGGCCTTCAATGGGGAATTGTCTCACTGAATGGAAGGCCGCGTCCATCAGGGCCACACTATTCCTTCTCCTCTTCCTGTGGTGCACGACCTCTACTTCCTGTCTGCCCGTGAGAGAACCCCAGAGTTCCTATAGAAATAGCACTGAACTCTTCTGGAAAAAAAGCCATCCTGTGTACACGGAGATGACTCTGGATGCCCCATGGAATTCAGCGAATGGGGTTTGATCCATGGCTCTGACGTTTACCAGGCAGGTGGTGTTCGGAGAGCCCATTTGACCTTTCTGAGCCTCAATCTTCTGTTCTGTAACAGGGTGTTCATAATATTTACCTGGCAACGTGACTGGGAATTAGATGAGATCCCCTTCCTAAAGCCTGAGGCTCAACACAGATATAACAGAGGACAGCAGAGTCACTTAGGAGCATGGGCCACCTCAGGCCTTGGGGCCAGGTTCTTGAGGGATGAACACTCTTGGCTTCTCCTGTACGTACTGAATTTTGTCCATGGATAAGCCCAGATTTCTGCTCTGGCCACATGCACCCGCCCAGGGGACAGGTTGGCTCTTGCCTAGACGGAACATGTCCCCTGAAAGAGCCAAGCTGTCAGACTGCTGAACAATGTGTGGGGGAATCAGACAAAGCAGGACTCCTGCTCCCACACGAGAAGGAAAGACCTTCCTACAACTTGTTCAGGAATCTTGAGAGCCAAGTTAACGGATGGGCCTAAGCAGAGCCCGGCACGTCCCTCAGCCAGGTCCTCTCCCAAGCCTCTCAGGAGAGGCCAGCTACGGTGAGGCCTCTGGGAACACGGGCTGGCAGGCCAGGGTGGGCATTGCCCCTCATTAACCTCCTGCCAGGGAGCTTTCTCCTGTTGGAGCTGAAGTTAGTCACACGGGGTGCTTGGAAAGTCTACCCAAAGAGTTGGAGGCAAAAGCCGCCCTTTATTCCCCAAACCATTCTGCTTCTCCACCCAGCCCTACTTCCCTCCGGCACCCGCTCACACACTTTCCCTTCCTTTCTCGACTCCTGGGCCAAAACCCACCAAGAGAGATTCCGAGGGACGGTGAGCAGGGCTTATTACTCAGTGCTGGCAAAGAAAGGCTTCTCCATTCTCAAAACAGCTTTGGCAGACTACGTTCAAGGAGCAGGGCTTAGGTGACTCACCTGTATACAGCAGGCATTGGTTATATGCATGCTAGGGAAGAACCCATGGTCAAGACTCAGCCTACTGGAAATGGCACAGCAACTGTGAGAAACCAGTGTGGCTTTGGAACCCCACCTGGGTTCTTAACAAACCATAACACGGCTCTAGGGTCATCTCTCCAAGGTAGTGCTTCAGAAATGGGATGGTGCCCAAGAAAGTCCCTCTCCCAGGCGCTCAGAAATGTCATTTTTTCCGTGTTATTGTGCCAGTTCCTCCCGCTCTGTATGACTAAATCCCTGCTGTTATGTACTCTTCGGGGCTCAGTCACATCATCCCAGCCACGGGGCAGGTCCGGACAGCCTGTGATTTTCTGAAAATCAGAGCTCCCCGAGGTCCTGTTTGCCGAGACAGACAGACCCACCCTGTTCACAGTGCTTGCCTTTCATACTTTCTAGACAGCGAGGTTCCCACCGGCCCCCACACACTCCACACGGATCCCAACCCTGGCCACGTCTTGGCTTCTAAAATTCACCTCACCTAGAATCTCTTCTCCATCCTATTTGCCTACCCCCACTTCCCTCCACACAGCTCAGGTTTTCTCCGGTAGTCAGTGACTACCATTGCCTCTTGGCCAGTCTCTATACCTCTCGTCCGAGGGTCCTCCACTTTGTGGTCCACGCTGCCACTGGAAAAGATCTTTCTAGAATAAAAATGTCCCTAAGCCTTTCATCTTCTTAAAAATGCTACCAAGATTCCATGTCACCTACAAGAGTGGTTCTCAACCTCTCAAGACACAAATCTCCCTCTATTTATAACAAATATCTTGTAATGTTCCTCCTGCTCTTCTGAAATAAAATCTGCAAATAACATAATCCAACTACATGCAATTCTTAAATAACTACATAATGCAGGGACTATAATCTATGAGGAAAAGTAATTGTTTATAAAATAAGATGTCCTTCAAAAGGTGAGGTCTGGGTACCACCGCACCCTCACCGCGCCTCACCGCACCTCATCTCGCCTTGTCTGCCCCCAGTTCTGGGGGTTCAGCTATCCGCCCTGTCTCACCTTCACGCCCAGAAATACTTCCTACCCCCTTTTGTGCCTCAAAACTTCCTCAAAACCCAACCCTCCCCAGCAGGGCTAGGCTTCCTCCTCCAGCCCAAAGCGCCCTATGCATTAAGCCTGTTCATTTCTTGCATCATACACTTAATCATCACAGTTTAAAAAACAAAAACAAAACACTCGTGAAAGTTTGTAAATCTACACAAAGTAGAAAAAAAATCAGCATAAGGAACACCCATTTATCCATTTTCACATTGCAACAATTATCAGCATTTGCCCCCCTGGTTTTATATGGCTTCTTGTTTCTTTTTCTCATATTTTGAAACTAATACCTGACAAGACAAATATTTCCTTATGAAACTTGAGAACCAAATCCTGAAAAATGGGTAACAGAAGATACTCCCATCAAGAAAGAAATTCCATGGGTTTCAAGAGCTCCTTGCCAGGAACCAGGGGCAAAGTGCATGGAATTTTTTATCAGACCACAAGTGGCATTCTTCTGTAAAGAACTAATGGTAGTAACTTCTTTTTTATTATTTTTTTAATCCCCCTCTTACTTTCTCTACTAGTATATTCATCACTCATCAGGGAAAGGACGTCCAAGGATATTACCCCGGGCAGCTGGCTAGAGTCCATTTTGACTCTAGTATGAAGAGACACCCCAGGTGAGACACCTTCCCAAATCTTAGTTCTCAAAAGTTTCACTAAACCAAGAAGAATAAATGAAAAAAAAAAATGGGAGTCACAAATTGTAGTCATAATAGTAATAAGAACAGATAATAATAATTGTTATTTAATGGATTCAAAAAATGTGGGGGGGACCTGGGTGGCTCAGTGGGTTAAAGCCTCTGCCTTCAGCTCAGGTCGTGATCCCGGGGTCCTGGGATTGAGCCCCACATCGGGCTCTCTGCTCGGCAGGGAGCCTGCTTCCCCCTCTCTCTGTCTCTGCCTACCTCTCTGCCTACTTGTGATCTCTGTCTGTGAAATAAATAAATAAAATCTTAAAAAAAAAAATGTGGAAGGAGCTACACCCAACTGTTAACAATGGCTTTTTCTGAATGGTAAGAGGGCAGTATTTGATTTTATTTTTTATCTTTTTCTCCATTTTCCAGATTTTCTCTAATGAACATGTGTTACTTTATAATCAGCAATAAATATAGAATGTTATGAAATCATCAAAGAAATTTAAGAAACATCATGAGTTCAGAGTTTCACTTTGTTCAAAAAACTTACCCTTCCTGAGACTCAGTTTCTCTCTCAGTAAAATTGTGAATTTGGCCTAAATGGTTTCTGCCTTTCCAGATGCAATTTTTAACAAGAAGAAAAGGAAAAAATAAAAAACAGTCACTTCGATATTATTTTCTAGTTTGGAGAGGCTAGAAACCATAGTAGTTAGGAGCCACAATTTGAGTTAACTTTTGAAATGGTTGATCGTGGGCAACCTTCTCTCTAAATCCTTCTCTGGAGTCAGTTACCTTATCTGTTAGGTAAAATAATTGGTGTAAAATTCCAGAACACAGTAAGCATTCGAAATATGATTGCTATAATTTTGAGTTCATTGTCTAATATATTTTACAAATTTCTTCTCTTAATCGCCTTTACTATAGTCAACTCTAGATTAGCCTCCATGTAAGGAAAAGGGAGCCATGCCATCTATTAAGCAGCACAGAGTCTTAACTTAATAGAAGATCAAACTAGAAGTAGCATTAGAGGTCATTCTGATCCAGTTAAGTGAATAAGATTTAGCCCAGAGAAGTGCCATGTCTTGTACCCGAGGTACAGTTGGTTGGTATGAAAGCTGGTACTTGGAACTATGCACGTTTTCTGATTTTCAGTTCAGGGCTTTGTGTTCTAATTTAAATACACAATAGACTAAACTCTTGTCGAGGGTGGCCCCACCACCAGGGCACTCTCCCCATGGGTTCTGTGGGCTGTGATGACACCCCTGACTCCAATACCCAGTACCTGAATGTCAGTCCTCACCATAGGATGGCTCAGGCAAAGGGAACCTTGACTCTACTTCTACTTGACTCTGACGAGACTAGTGCCCGCCCAAGACCAGCCTTAAGGGGGAAACTGAGTGCACATACCACTCAGTGACTTTAGTAAGCTTCTAGTTAAAAAGAAGGAAAAGACAAGCCCCTAAGCAATTTCCACTCCTCCCATCAAAACAAAACAAAGCAATAAAACAAACAAACAAACAAAAAAAAAAAACGGGAAATAATGCAGTTCTTGGGACAAGTCCTATCTTCAGTTTTTGTGGTTGTAGTTTAATTTGATAGGCGTCTCGTGGCTTACCTTCCCCAGATATATTCCTCTACCAACTTAGTGTTTCCAGTATTAGAATCGCATCCTTTGAATGAAAGTCTTATCTTCAGGACACTGATGTATTACTTGAAAATGGCGACTCTTCTGGTTCCATAGAAACACCCAAGGTGAAGGCAGAGTGGGCTGCCAGTCCAGCAGGACAATCACCAAGATGTGGTTCCGAAGCCAGGCACAGAAGTGACCAGACATCCAGGATGGTTACACAGAACCCAACCTCACAAAGGACTGACCTGTTGGTCAGGCAACTGATGTTTGATCGTTGCGGGGGTGTGGGGCATGCCTTTGTAGGGAAAGGAGTGTTCCTGTCCACCATTTAGGGTAGCCACTTTACAAGCCCCAGTGCCTGTTAAGCATAAAATAAGAGCAAGTAGAGGTGGGCAGGAATTCTCGATGTTTCTCCAAGGTGATGAACCATGGAGCCCCTTCCACCCACCAGATACCCCTCCACCCCCACTCCCCACCCCCAAGCAGTACCACACCCAAACCGTAACATTCTCGCCCTTGCTTTTCCTGAACTTTGGACAGAACCTATCCATTTCTGCTAACCACTCATTGAAGAAGGCCCATTATAATCAAGTTTTTAACCCAAATATGGAATCACAATACATTATGATTATATAGTTTCAGTCACCTGGTTTAAATGTGATTAATCGGGGCGCCTGGGGGGTGCAGTGGGTTAAGCCTCTGCCTTCAGCTTAGGTCATGGTCTCAGGGTCCTGGGATTGAGCCCCATATTGGGCTCCCTGCTCAGCAGGGAGCCTGCTTCCTTCTCTCTCTCTGCCTGCCTCTCTGCCTACTTGTGATCTCTGTCAAATAAATAAATAAAATCTTTAAAAAAATTAAAAAAAATAAATGTGATTAATCATGGTGATCCCATCAAGTAAGACTACATCCTACTAATAGATGATTGGGTTTAGATGTTCCTAAATCTCACCCAACATCTGATATTTTTCACACCTAGAGCTGCTCATTTCATATAATTTATAGTTCAAAAATAATTTATAGTTCAAAAATACCCATGTTGGGGTAACTGGCTGGCTCAGTGGGTAGAACGTGTGACTCTCAGTCTCTGGGTCGTGAGTTCAAGCCCCACATTAGGAGTAGAAATTACTAAAAAAAAAAAAAAAAAGGAAAATAAAAGAAAATTTAAAGATATGCATGTTTATTACAACATTCAGAAAACATTAATAAAAAAAAGAATTGAAATTACCCTTAGTGTCACACTCAGAGATAATCATGCAGAATATTCCAGCTCTACATAAAATGGAATGAGTAGTATTTTTTCAAAGATTTTATTTATTTGAAACTCTTTTTATTTATTATGAACTTTTAAGACCTACTGTCTTAGCACCTCCCAAATATACGATACAGTATTATTAATTATAATCACCATACAGTACATTATATTTCCAGAACTTACTTTCTGGAAGTTTATCCCTTTGACCTCCTTCACCCTTTTTACCCCATCCCCCAGCTCTGCCTCTGGCAACCACCATTCTGTTCTCTTTTTCTATGCATTTGTTTTTTTTTATATTCCACATTTAAGTGAGATCATATAGTACTTGTCTTTCTCTATTTGACATTTCACTTGGCACAATGTCCTCGAGGTCCATCCCTGTTGCAGCAAATGGTAGGTTTTCCTTCTTTTCGTGGCTGAACAGTATTCCGTTTTATGCGCATACACAACATCTCCATCCATTCGTCAGTGACCACTTCGATTGTTTCTGTGTCTTGGCCTTTGCAAATAACACCACAATGAACGTGGGGGTGCAGCTATCTCTTTGAGACAGGAATTTCATTTTTTTTCTGATAAACATCCAGAAGTGGAATTGCTGGATCATATGATAGTCCTATTTTTCATGTTTTGAGGGACCCACATACTGTTTTCCACAGGGCTGCATCAGTTTGCATTCCTGCCAACAGTGCACAAGGGTTCCTTTTCTTTTTTTTTTTGCCAACACTTCTTATCTCTTGCCATTTTGATAACAGCTATTCTAACAGTTGTGAGCTGATAGCTCGCTGTGGTTTCCATTTGCATTTCCCTGATAATTAGTGACTTGGAGCCCTCTTCATGAACCTGTTTGCCCTCTGTACATCCTCTTTGGAAAAACAATGTCTATTCAGATTCTCTGCCCATTTTTTAATCATTTTGTATTTTTGCTATTGAGTTGAAGGAGTTATTGAGGTATTTGGATATAAAGTCCTTATCAGATCTATGATTGGCAAATATTTTCTGCCATTCTGCAGGTTGCCTTTTTATTTTGTTGGCTTCCTTTACTGTGCAATAAAAGCTTTTTAATTTGATGTAGTCCCATTTGTTTTTGTTTTTGTTGCCTTTCCTTTTGGTGTCAAATCCAAAAAAAAAAAAAAAAATCCTTGCCAAGATTGATGTTAAGGAATTTACTCCCTATGTTTTCTTCTAAGAGTTTTGTGGTTTTAGGTCTTACCTTCATGTCTTTAACCTATTTTGAGTTGATTTTCGTGTATGTTATAAAATAGCTTTATGTGTTGCATGTGGCTTTCCAGTTTCACAACACTACTTATTGAAGAAACTATCCTTTCCCCATTGTATACTTTTGGTTCCCTTGTCATAAATTAATTGGCTACATAGATGGGGGTTTATTTCTGTGTTCACTGTTTTGTTCTGCTGATCTACGTGTCTATTTTTATTCCAATAGTATACTGTTTTGATTACTGTAGTTCATAATACGAAATCAGGAAGGATGATATCTCCTCTATGTTCTTCTTTCTCAAGATTGCTTTGGCTATTTTGGTCTTTTATGGGTCAAATTTTAGGATTCTTTGTTCTAGTTCTATGAAAAATGTCCAGAATTTTGATGGGGGTTGCATTGAAAATGTAGGTTGCTTTGATAGTATGACCACTTTAGCAATATTAATTCTTCCAATTCATGAGATAAGATAGTCTTATCTTCCCATTTATTTGTGCTTTCTCCCATTTCTTTTATCAATGCCTTACAGTTTTCAGATTACAGTTCTTTCACCTGGTTAAATTTACTCCTAAGTATTTTATTGTTTTGATGCAATTGTAAATGGGATTGTTGCCTTAATTTCTGTCTGATAGTTCCTTGTTAGTGCATAGAAATGCAATAAATTTTTGTATATTGATTTTGTATCCTGCAACTTTGCTGAATTCCTTTATTTTTTTTTTTTTTGAGATTTTATTTATTTATTTGACAGAGACACAGTGAGAGAGGGAACACAAACAGGGGGAATGGGAGGAGAAGCAGGCTTCCCACAGAGCAGGGAGCCCAACACAGGGCTTGATCCCAGGACCCTGGGTTCATGACCTGAGCTGAAGGCAGATGCTGAACAACTGAGCCACTCAGGAGTCATTACTGAATTCCTTTATTAGTTCTAACAGGTTTTTTTTTGTGGAGTCTGTAGGGTTTTCTGCATACAATGATGTTATTTGCAAATAGAGACAATTTACTTCTTTTTTTCCTATTTGGATACCTTTTATTTCTTTTCCTTGCCTAACTGCTCTGGATGGGACTTCCAAAACTATGTCAAATAAAAGTGGTGAGGGTGAGCATCCTTGTCTTATTTCTGATCTTAGAGGAAAAGCTTACAGCTTTCTACCTTTGAGTATGATGTTAGCTGTGAGCTTTGTCAGATAGGGCCTTTATTACACTGAAATATGTTCCCTTGATACCCACATTGTTGACAGTTTTTTTTAAATCATAAATAGATGTTGAATTTTGTCAAATGTTTTTTTGCATCTATTGAGATGATTGTATAGTTTTTATCCTTCAATTTGTTAATGTGGCGTATTTTGTTGATTGAATTACAGATGCTGAACCATCCTTACAGCCCAGGAATAAATCCCACTTGATCATGGTGTATGATCCTTTTAATGTATTGTTGAATTCAGATTGATAACATTTTGTTGATTGAAACCTTGTTCTTTATAATACTTTTAAGATCATTCACATCCCATATAACTCATCCATTTAAAGTGTTCATTTCAACTGAAACCTTTGTTTAGACCTAATTCTGCATTGCAGACTCTTTCCCATCTCAAAAATTATAATTCTATAGCACCACTTTTAGCGGTGGTAGGGTACTCTTATATATATTGGTATCATTTTCTAAATAATCCCCCTTTTTTTCACATGAAGATTATATCCATTCCTTTATGATCATAAAATACTTTGGTGAGCATTCTAGGAGCTAAGTCTTTGCTGACATTCCTACTTTCTGGAGTTGCTGCGACAAGGTATATGCACATTTTAAGGATATCAATACTCATCACCAAAGTATTCTCCGGGCGCCTGGGTGGCTCAGTTGGTTAACCAAAGTATTCTCCCACAAGTTGCCCGGTGAATGTGTACTCCCAGAAGTGCATGAAGCTATTCCCCCATTATATACTGATTCTTCTTTATTTTTACCTTCAGAGGGTAGTTATCTGAGTGGAGGTACAGGAAAGTTATAACTGATTTCAGTTATACTGAAAAATTACAATGGGAAAGGGCATTGGGGAGATCTGGAGTACAAGAAGTAGCCACGCATGAGCAGACCCTACAGAAGTTTTCATGCAGGCCACCTTCTGTAACGTGTGATTGGGCAGGAGGAAGGATGTTAAAGCAGGGGAGCAGGGAACCAGGATCCCTGAGCCACCCACTGAAAACTGCTGGGCTGACCCTGGAGCTATGGAGTCTTGCCAATGGCATCTTGGTAGCCTCCTGGCCACTTCCAGAGAGTGGATCTCGGCTGATGAGAACATGGAATGCTTTTCTTCTACTGGGTGGTCAGTAAGCTCTTTCTATTTTCATTTAGACCTCTCATAGACTTGACAATCCCACCCCAGAGAAAAAGTCCGATTCAGCCTCAACTAGACCAACAAACTCTCATTCGTTATATTTGTTTCCGAAGATATTCAAAGCCTGCTGAACCATGGTATAAAGAAACCACCTACCAAAGAGACTATTCTCTGCCATTTTACAAGATCGGTAAGTCAGGTCAACTGCTCTTACTCTCTGAGATCAACCTCTCCTCAGATGAGCCTTTCTCGTGGGTTCGCTGCCATCAGCAACCAGTCAAATTGGGGGAAAGCATTCGTGTGTGCCTAGTGCAGGAAGAATTTTGAGACTGAACCAAGGCTGCTTCCTCCTCTCCTCTTTTTTCTAGCTCCCTATGGAATCAAGGATAAAAATGTACAAATGTTCTTGGTAGGAAGCATACTCAAGTGTGACTACGTCTCACTGAGCCCCTTGTTACTCAACAGATTCCTTATTGTGCCCAAACGTATTATTAAGGGAAATTTTTTTCTTTCTTATTCTCCCATTTTAAATGGCTTTATAACAATTATTTGACATTTGAAGACATATTTCAAAAATTTCAAAAATTTCTGTCTATGTTGCAACATGTGTGAGTATGAACAGCCAAGCCCCCACACCACGGGACCCTGGGGTTACACACATGGACACCGATGTAGACATTACCTGTATCCCTGTTGTCATTGATGCTTTGAATTTTAGCAAGTGGGAGGAGTTGCTGCATTGACAGACTTTCTAAATGAGCAAACCTCACAATTTCTGGGGGCTCTTACACTGTGGCAGACACATATTTTGTTCTCCTAAGAGCTTTTAAGGTAAGTGTCATTACTTACCCCATTTTACAATAAAGGAGATCAAGTTGCAGAAACAATTAATTAAGCAGCCCCAGATCACAGCACAGTAGGTGGGAGAAGCAGAATTCATACCAAAGCCATTTGAGATACAGAATTCTGTGCTTGACCCTTAAGCAATACTACCTTTGTCACAGCTGAGAGTCATTTGCATTGCTATTTATTTAATAATTTTCTTTCTTTTTGCTTGAACAAGAACAAGGAAACGCATAGAAGGACAGCAGGGGTGGTGGCTGGGGTGAGAAGGATAGCCCCTTCCTTCTGCTCTCTCCTTTGAAGGGCGGCGGCCTAGATGGAGTGCTAGGCCAGAGATGGGGCTCAGGTCCCAAGGGAACCAGGAATCACAGCAACCAGGAAGACGGGAAGCAGATGGAACCAGGCATTCTCCAGACAGTGGAGCCACGGAGAGGGGGCAGTAGAGGAAGCCGGATGGGGCGGAAATGGGCAGGAGGCATCTGGCATGAGAGGTTACCAGCAGTGAAAAGCTGGGGTCTGGGAGGGGAGAGGATTGGAGGCTGAGAAAGGAGCTGAGAGGAGAGGGAGCTGGTAGCTAAGATAAGCTCATTTAGGGAAGGAGGTGCCAGGAGGGAGTGAGGGATGGTGGAAGTGAGGATTCCCCAGGAGGCCCCGGGAGGGCTGTATTAAAGACTGTTGGGGTGGGTGGGAATGCATGTTAGGGGCTGAAGGGTGAGGCCTGGGGGGAACAGAAGCCTCCAGGAACTGAGCAGCTGGAAAGAATTGGTGGTCAGGAGGTGTCAGTGGGGCTCCTGTCCCCACAGAACTGGCTAAGCAGCTTGCCCTTTCAAGACTGACTGAGTAGGAAATCGTCTTCCCTCCCACGTGGGAATTTGGGTGGGCCTTGAGTTACCAAAACGATAGTAAACAGGACCTTCTTTACAACTGCTCTGCTATGAGGGACTCCAGTTAGACGGACATAGAAGGTTTTCTCCCGTGCTTGTTTTAGACAATTCCTAATTCTTTCCAAACCTACAGCCCCAGGTGAGTGTTTAGCAAAGGGGTTTGATATTTACCATCTCCTGTGTCCCTAGCACCATGCTGGGTGCCTGGGGAGGAGGTGAACACAAGTCCACGCTCCGACCTCAGAGACGGGAAGTTCCCAGTCTGATCGGGAAGATGAAGAAACCATCAGCCTATCACTGAATGATTGAGAAGCAGCTAGCAGAGTAGGAAGATGGGTCTAGAACATGAGGCCATGGGGACACAAGCTGGGCCCTGCTGGAAGAGGTCTGAGGCAGAGAAGTGGTACTGCAGACAGGGACCCTGCAGCTAGAGGGGTGAGCCTTGTGGAGGGTGGGGGAGCAGGGAGCATGCCAGGCGTGAGGACGCTGGCCGGTCTGGGCCAGGCAGGAGGAAGTGGGGGATCCCATGCGGTTGGCAGATTAGGACAGAATGGCTGGAACTGAAGAGGAGTTCAAGGAGGGAGTCTGGAAAGTTTCATCTGAACAATCAGAGCCATCTTGGGACCTGTCAAGGGAGAGCCCAGGTGGCCTCAGAGGCTGTTGGTGGGTCGGCCTGCTCAGGATGGGTTGGAGAAGGCACGACTACGTTGGCAGTCAGGCAGGATGGAGCTGTGGAAGCGTGGGCAGGACTCGGGCCTTAGGGGCCGCTGGCCTGCACATTCTAGCTCTGCAGTGTTGAGCAAGACACTCAGCTCCTCTGAACTTGCCTGTGCCTGTGTAGAGTGGAGATTCAATGTCTAAATTTTAGGATAAATTGTTACTATTTAAAGTATCTGTCCTGTGCCCAGAACTGTACTAAGTGGGATACACACGTGTGTCCACACTCGTGGTTGCCATGAGTCCTAACAGCCACTGTGAAAGGAGGTATTATTATTTACTGCCTGTAGCAGAAGAGAAAACTGAGTCTTAGAGACTTCAGGAAACTTCCTCAAGCTGGTAAGTCGTCAATCCAGGTCATCCAGATTTGTTGCACTCCCAACCCTTGCTCTTGAATTGAACTGAGGAGGCTTCGTGGGAAATGGGAAGAAGACTCATGTGGTGTAGGAGCTGGAGTGGGAAAGGTGGTATTAAGAGAGAATTCATGAGAGAGGAGAGAGAAATTAAAGCTCATTGCTTTCCACGTCTGGCAGAATTGTCGGTGCCTCTGATGGAAAGAACCGTTTTTGGCAGAAGTGTCAAGTTGGCATCCATAGACAACTGGAATAAGGCGCTGGAAAGCATAGGCAGAAAACTTAAGATAGGAACAGGGTCAAACAGTCCCCTCCCCTGGGAGGTCTGAGGCCTAACCCATTCAAGAGGTAATTTATGTTGAAATATTCATGGCTCCAGTCACTGAACTACGGATTGAGTGCACATTAGTCATCTTTCCTGGAGTAATGTAGCATTCCAAGGCCTAGTGACTTAGAAGATGAATGATGATGATTTCTATCTTTTAGCTGGGCAGTTCGGGCTCAGGTTTCTCAAGGGGTCAGCCAGAGGTCAGTGAGCCCTCGATCATCTGAAGGCTTGACTGGGGCCGGAGGATCCGTGTCCAGGGTGGCTCATTCACATGGCCATCACTCATACGCTGGCTGGCGATGGGGTTCTCGGTGCCTTTCCGAGTGGGGTCCCCACAGGGGTGCCATGGGTCCTGCCCTGGAACAGCCAGTGAAGGGGGAAATTGCAATGCCTTTTATGACCTAGGCTCAGAAGTCACACACTATCACTTCTGAGGTGTCCTACCAGTCGCACACAGCCAGCCCTAAGGCAGTGTGCAAGGAGATGATATAAGGCACGGATGCCAGGGGGTGAGAATTCCTGGGATCCATCTTGGAAGCCAGCAACCGTAAGATGATTCGCTCATTGGCACCCATTATGAAGTAGCCACTGTATGTCTGGTGGGGGTTGATGAGATACCTGCTCCCAAGCAGCTGACATTCTTTGGAGAGGGGGTGAGGTACAGAGCATAACCAAGGACATTTTTTAAAAATTATAGACTGGGGGCGCCTGGGTGGCTCAGTCGTCAAGCATCTGCCTTTGGCTCAGGTCATGATCCCAGGGTCCTGAGATCAAGCCCCACATTGGGCTCCCTGCTTTGCAGGGGCCTGCTTCTCCTTCTCCCACTCCCTCTGCTTTGTCCCTTCTCTAGCTGTGTCTCTCTCTGTCAAATAAATAAATAAAAATCTTTAAAAAAAATTATAGACTGTAGTAGGGCTGTAAGGGAAATAAGCAGGGTGATAAGTGCGGCTAAGGGAAGTTACTTTTAATAGTGCAGTCAGGGAAAAAAAAACCTCTATACGGTTTTAGCTGAGCCCTGGAAAATAGCAATGAGTCACATGAAGAGCATTTAAAGGAGCAGTAAGCGTGAAAGCTTGAAAGCAGGAAAGGCCTCAATGTGTTTGAGGAACAGAAAGGAGACAGCAGAGCTGGCGTGTAGTCAGTGAGGGTATTCATGGTAAGATGCCCAGGTTCCAGTCCAAGCCCAAAGGGAAGATCTGAACGGGTTTCGAAGAGAGGAGGGCCCTGTCGTTTGTATTTTTAAAAGATCACCCTGGCTGCTGCTAAGACCCTGTTTGGAGATGAACAGGAGGCAGGGCAGGCAGACCAGTGAGGGAACCGTTTACTAGTTTAGAACAGAGATGATGGCAGCTTGGAGCAGCAGGGAAGATGAAAAAGAATGAATGGATTCCAGAGATATTTTGGAGGTGACATCAGTGGGGCTTGGTGATAGATCTGCTGTCGAGAGCACTTTGATTCATTCATCTGTGTTCTTTCAGTAAATAATTTGAGAGCCTACTTGGATGCCAGGCATTGTGCAAGGTTTTGGCAATACCACATCAAGCAAAAATAGACACAAAGTTTCTATGTTCAGGAAGCTTCAGTGGGAACGAGGAGAGAAATAAGCATACAATTTCACCTGCCATACATGCTAGGAAGCAGAGTTTAGGTGATGGCGTAGGAGCACTTAACAAGTCAGAAAGGGACAACAAGAAGTCTCTGAGGAAATGATGAGCTAGAAGTTCACCAGGCAAGGAGTCTGGGAAGAGCTTCCCGGCGAGCAGGGCATGTGCAAAAGCCCTGTGGTAGGGGCGTGACATGTTTGAGGAACTAAAAAAAAAGTACCAAAGAAATAGACGAAAGCACAGAAGTCAGGAAGGGTGGAGCCGGCTGAGGCTCGAACAAGGAGAGGTTTACAGGTCATTTTCAGCTGTGACACCTCTAGGCTAAGATTAATGGGAAACCAGCAAAAAGTTTGGAAGGAGGACAGAGGTGACATGATTAAAAACACATTTTGAGAAGATGGCTCTAACTGTGGAGAAGGAAAAGGAGGCAGGCTGGGGAGTCGGGTGAGTCAGGAGGCCATGGCAACGGTTAGGCTAAATGTTTTTAACCTCAGTGACATCACTTTTCGCAATCCCAACCCCCAGGACAGAACCAGACCGTTCAAACCTGGATCTCCCACTGGGAGAGGGCGGCATCAATACCTTAAAATCTTGCCAGATTAATCCCACCATGCAGCCAAGTTTAGGAAGCAGTGGTTTGGCGGCTGATGATAGCTGGGAACAGTGGAGAATTGGATGGATTTGCCAGATACTTGGTTGGCCATTGTTTTGTAAACAACAGTCAGGCAGGCAAGACCCGGGAGAGAGGAGTCATAAATCTGAGCGCTGAGAGCGAACACAGCACGGGCTCAGTCAAGCATTTGTTCGAATCAAGAGGCTGACTCCTTGAAGGAGTCTTTTGGGGGAAGGGCTCCTCACAGAGTAAGATGGATGGTAAGTTGTGTATCAGGATGGTGGGTTTTTTCCTCTTGACCATCTGACCAGTCCTTGTGATCAGATTTTAAAGGCAGGGCTTAGGACTGATTCGCATTTCATGGTCAGTTATTTCTTTTTGGGAATTGGTGAGAAACAGATTAAATAGAGATCGTGATAGATCACAGTTATTACGCAAGAAGTTCTTCTTCAGTAAAAAATTCCTCCTCAGGGCATAGGGGCTCATTCATTTCTTTAGGGAATATTTAGGCAACACAGACTATGGGCAAGACACAGTGTAAGAAATGAAGACTTTGTCCTCAGAGAACTTGAGCTTGGGAGGATTAGGATGGCCCCTCAGACAAAAATTGCCCTTGTATTCCTCACCCTGGCACCAAATACTTAAAAGAACTCATTCTGCAAAAATAAAATATATGTTCTCAATAGCAGTGTGACCCTTAGATTCTCTGAACTTCCGTTCTCTCATCCGCAAAAGGATAAAAATAGTATCTACCTAAGAGAACTGAGATATCCATGTGAAGACTTTAGCGTTCTGCATGTAACATTTATAACCCTTCACAAAAAAGTTAGCCATTATATTATTACTGACCAAAGAATCAGCACGTGCCAAAAAACAAAAACAAAAACAAAAAACCCAAGGCAATGGAATTGTCTCTTATATAGGGATTAAGTTCTAAAACCAAAGCCTAAGGTAATAATCACATAGAATCAAAGTTATCCTTGAAAATCTCTTAAATTGTTCAAAGTGAAAATATTAAATGATATTAAATTATTAAAGTAGCTGGAGTAAATGGGATTCAGTAAGTTGGTTAAATTTTCTCTATAGTTCTCAATTAATTATTCATTTTGTTTTTCGATGATGACTTTCAAAGACGTCACCCCCACAATTCCACATGAACAATAATTTCACTTTATCAAATGGTAAGGAAATCCCAAAAATCATTTCACACATCCTTTCCATAGTATTCCCCACCCCAAATTTGCATAGCATTTTTCAGGCTTGATAGCATCTACTGTCTGTGGGCATGGAGATTTAGAAGGAATTCCCCACAAAAGTCTGTTGAATTTACCTCGTTAAATGAATGGGTCATTCGGCTCCATGGCAACTCTGACCAAGGATCACTGAGGCTGGTGAATGGGATTCCTCACACTCCTAAGCCACTTAGATATATTTCCCTGAAACACAGTGAAACCCTCCAGAAGGTCAGAGTTGCTATGTTAACCCCACCGTAAGCCTCGGGAAGTCACATGGTTACTTACTACAGACAGGTACACACTTTACTAACTTCGATTTAAGAAATCCTTCCAGGGATGGCATTTCTGGTCATACTCCAGGGTTCAATGAAATGTTATCTATTCTTAATATCACATGTGATCTATTCTTAATATCAAGAATGTTTGGGTCTTTCCATGCTATTGACATACTGTGGCCGGTGGAAGAGAGCAGGGAAAAGATCAGGGACTTTGGGGCCAGATAATCCTGGGTTGGGTCCCCTCACAATCCTGTGAACTTGGCCAAGTTCATTAATCTTTCTTAGATGGTGAAACTATGGGCGGGTCTGTGAGGATTACTGTGGATATTAACGTAAGTAAAACACCGAACACAGTGACAGCACTACACATAATATATTTGGTATGGTATGATTGAAACGCTCTGCTTTTTGGTTCATCAAGACGATTGACGTATTTAACCCCAGCCCTCCTTGAAAGCTCACCTTTGGACAGCAGAACTGTCTGTGACTGTAGATAAGAAGTTATAAAGTACAAGGGAACTCCAGTGGGTATGACTTTAGGGATGGTAACAACTGAAGTTTGACACAAAAATCATACAAAATGATCCGTTATTAATGTAGGGCTTAAAGGATGTGGGGGTCTAAAATTAGGATGTCCAATGCCAATTTATATGGCTGATTTAATTTTATTTACATTTGGGCTTAATTCAACGGTCTACCTATTGATCAGAGATTAAAACACAGAATTAATCTTTTTTTGAGTTTTAAGTGCTTTTCTCCCCCATCTTTTACGTATTATATTCATTTGTCTTAAATCCACCAAATTATTTTGTTATTGCACAGAATTGTTGTTGACCATATGTTAAAATTTAGGAGTGAATGGTCTTAAAATAAATCATTAATTTGTTTTAAATTTCAGATTGGGACCAGAAATTAGCCACAATTTCATCTAATCCTAGACCACTAAATTCACTGCCAGAGTTCTACTGTTGTGAAGACAGGCTGCTTTGAAAGAAAACCTTTTAAATTAACATAACAATGGCATTTGGACAAAACAACATTCGGAGTTCCTAGTTGACCCCTTTTAGATTAAAGTAATAACAGAACGACTTTTGACTTAAGTGTGTATCCAGATGGCTACAATCCTGAAATATTTACCTGTTGCAAATTCTTTTCAGAATTAGGTGATCAGCCTAGGGCAGGGAATCAAGAGTCAAGTGTAAGAGAACTTGCCATCTGTTCGCACATCAGCCCCAACACCAGTCTCATTGCTGGTGCTGACAAACCATCTTACATATAATCCAGCAGTTATACGGGGGACCGGGTAAGAATATTATTGGCTCAATAACTGCATCACTGACTGTTGGAAAAATAAAAGTAAAAGAAGAACTTGGGGATGTAGCCAAGAAGGAAGACTGCCAACACCACAGACCCTAAAGTTGCTGTGGATGTAGTGACCTATGAGACTGGTAAAAAACAGAAGAATTAATTAAAATTCTTAATTAAAAACAAAAGAATTAAAGTCTATATACAGAGAGTGAATACGCCTATCTGAACAATTGGGCATCAATTCCTCAGGCAAAAAACTAGAGGTTCTTTTCTAAAGAAATGAAGGATCCTGAAGAAAAGAACCCTATATTCTGGCCCCTAGTAACCCCCCAACATACAAGTTGGTTCCCCACTCAACACCCCAAAATGAAGCCTACCAGTTGATAAACTTCCCCCAGGAACACAATTTCTGGTTGTGTTCCATTGCCATGGTCTCAGATGTGAAGAGCTAACCATCACCTGAGAGTTGGAAAAACAACGTAACATGAAAGACAAAGACCAAAATAAAGAGAAGAAATGATGCCGGAGGAAACAATTCAGGGAACGCCAAGGAGCCTAAACAAAGCTAACAGAGTAACATTGTCATCTGACAAAGGATGCCTCAAAATAATGACATCCACTAACATTAACAATCTTTCCAAAGCTCTTGGAAATGAAAAATATGATTGCTAAAATTAAAAATCTGACAGCACTGGAAGAAAAATCTGAATAACTCTTTATGGAATAGAAAGGCAAAGAAGATTTTTGTTGTAAGAGACACAGAAGGGTACCTGGGTGGCTCAGTCTGTTAAGTGTCTGACTCTTGGTTTCCGCTCAGATCATGAGATCAAGCTCCACATCAGGGTCCACACCCAGAGGGAAGTCGGCTTGAGATTCTGACCCCCTTCTCCCTCCCCTCTGCTGCTCCCCCCCTACTCAAGTGCTCTCTCTCTCTTGCTCCCTCTCTCACACAATAAATAATCTTTTTTAAAATAAAAATAAAAAAAATAAGAGACCTAGAACAATAAATTAGGGGGTCCATCATCTGACTAATAAGCATCCTAGAGACAAAACAGAAAAAATAAGAGAAAATCATCAAGGGACCAGAAACTTCTCATATGCAGGGGTTTATGCTGTGGCCTCACACATGAAAACACAGAAAATTAAAATAACCAACTTTCAGTTTCACTGATTTTCTCTGTTGTTTTCTAGTCTCTATTTTGTTTCTCTTCACTCTCATCTTTACTATTTCCTTCCTTTTACTGGTTTTGGGTTTATGTTGCTTTCTTTTTTTGGCACCTTAAGGTGTAAAGTTAGGTTGTTGATGTGAGACCTTTAACTGTCTTCAGTTTCCTGAACTGAACTGCCCATGCTTACAACATCCCATGGTTTTACTGTGTTGTGCCTTCGTTGTCATTCACCTTTTAAGTGTTTCCTGATGCCCTTTGTGATTTCTTCCTTGACTCACTGGTTAAAAGTGTGTTTTTAAATTTCCATTGTTGGGTGTCTGGGTGGCTCAGTGGATTAAAGCCTCTGCCTTCGGCTCAGGTCATGATCCCAGGGTCCCGTGATCGGACCCCGCATTGGGCGCTCTGCTCAGCGGGGAGCCTGCTTCCACCTCTCTCTCTCTGCCTGCCTCTCTGCCTACTTGTGATTTCTGCCTGTCAAATAAATAAATAAAAGCTTAAAAAAAAAAGAATACAGTGTGGTGATTTAGTAAATTTAAACAACTGTGCAACCATCACCATAATCCAATTTTAGAACATTTCCATCACCTCATAAAAATTCTTTGTGCCAGGGGTGCCTGGGTGGCTCAGTCAGTTGTATCTGAATTCAGCTCAGGTCATGATTTCAGAGTCCTGGGACCCAGCCCTCCATTGGGCTCCCTGCTCCGTGGAGTCTGCTTGTTCTTCTGCCCCTCCCCCAGCTTGTGATCTTGCTTTCTCTCTCTCTCTCTCTGTCTCAAATAAAATCTTAAAAAATTCTTTGTGCCCATTTGCAGTCGCTCCCCATTCCCGCCCCCAACCTCACAAATCTACTCTGTCTCAATTAAATTGCCTTTCCTGGACATTTCATGCAAGTGAAATCATGGGATATGCAGTCTTCTGTATCTGGCTGTTTTCATTTAATGTAATGTTATGAAGTCATACCAGGGACTTCATCCCTTTTTTTGCCCATTATATAGATATACTCCCTTTTCTTCATTCATTTGTGCAGCATTTGTAAGTCTGTGTGGACATATCTTTTCATTTCTCTTGGCTAGACACCTAGGAGTGGAGTTTCTAGATCATATTTTACATTTATAATTACTTTTTAGAATAACCTTCTAAAATGCACCAGTTTACACTCCTACCAGCAATGTACAAAGGGTTCCTATTTCTCCATATCCTCATCAATACATGTAAGTGTGTCTTTTTGATTGTAGCCATTCTAATTGTTGTGAAGGGATGTGTTGTTTTAGTTTGCATTTTCCTAATGTGATTAATGATGTTGCTACTTCTTTTCTTGGTCATTTGTATATCTTTGGTGAAGTGTCTATTCAAATATTTTGACCATTTTTGAATTAGGTTATTTTCTTTTTAATTATACCAGATCATTATATATCATTATATATCCTGGATACAAGTTCTTTATAGATACATAGTTTGCAAATATTTTCTCCTTATCTGTGGCTTGCCATTTCATTTTCGTAGAGGTTATCTTTTGAAATATGAAAGTTCTAAATTTTGATCAAGTCCAATTGATTGAGTTTTTCACTTACAGATTGCATTTTCACTATCATCTTTAAGAAGTCTTCTGCCTAACCCAAGGTCATGTATGCTGTCTACAGGTCACTCACTCTATTTATTTATTTATTTAGGTTACTCACTTTAGATAAAAAATTCAAGTAGGTTGAAAATGAAAGAATGGAAAAGATATTCTAATATCATACAAAATAGACTAAGGCAAAAACTGTCACAACAAAGGACTTATGTATTGATAAAGGAGTCATCAAGAGATATTAATAATTATAAATACATATTCACCAAACAATAGGGGCCCCAAATATATGAAGCAAACATTGATGGATTTGAGGGGAGAAATATTTCTGCAATAATAATAGTCTTCTGCTATCATTTTTTAATGTACTTTCCAATGACATGAAATGCCATTTTAAGCCTCTATTATCAAGCTCCCATGTATGTTGCAGCTACCTCTGAAATGCCCAGTCCATTCCCCTTGTGCATTCATTCATTCCCATGACAACATCACTTACTCTGACTACAGGAGCTTAACAGTGTTTTAACACCTGGTGGGGAACAACCTCTTGACACATAACTTTTTTCAAAAATTCTCTTAGGAATTCTTGCACATTCATTTTTCCACCAAAGTTTCAATATAATTTTGTCCAGTTAGACAATCCCCTGGCAATTCGGACTGGAATGGCATTCAACTCACATACTCATTTGTGAAGGACATTCAGCTCTATCAATCCATTAATATATAAAAAATAAATATATTAAAAAGGGCATCTCCCCACTGAAATACCTTGTTCTGCCATTTAGTTCCCTCCTACTGCACTTTAAAATTTCAGTTTTTGTGTGTCCCTGTTATGCCCCCATAATCATATCTATGACATCTTGGCCTTGACCTTTTATCAGGGGAAACATATTTTAGTTATTTGGCAGAGTCCTCCTCCAACTTTTTGCCAACTTTACCTGCCTCACCAGCCCCTCATTCATTTTTTTTTTAGTTGCTCCAACTTTCCAAAATGTTTTCAGCCTCTGGGTCTTTGCCCTTGTTCCTCTGACTACTCACCCTCTTGATCTGTTTGAATCCTGTTTCTGCTAAAGGCCATTTCTGACTCTTTCTGAACTGAGGTTAAGTTCTCCTTCCTAACACCCTGCACTTTCCTATTATGGCGCAGATCGCTTACAAATACATTTGTCTGGCTGCTGCCTTACAATACACCACCGCACCCCCAACACCTAGCAGATTCTAGCAAATACTCTTGTTCAGTAGAGATTACTGTAATACAGTTACCTAGGATTTCAAAGACAACTGTATCTGAAGAGCAGAACCTCTCTCTTAACCAACTTACAGCTCACTTCTAAAGACTGAGAGGCGAGAATCACTCAACCTGGTCAAAATTGAGTAAATGTCTATCAATATCAATAGATTTGCACTTTTTTGATTTAAAAAAAAAAAAGCAGTGACTTGGAGAATCAATGCTTTTTTTCTTCATTTGTTTTTTCTGGTAATCTCTATACCCAATGTGGGGCTCAAACACGACCTGGGACCAAGAGTTGCATGCTCTTCCAACTGAGACATCCAGGTGAAGTCTCAGTTAAGAAGGGTTTTTTGTTTGTTTTTGTTTTTTTCTTTTTTTAAGTTTGTTTATTTGTTTAGTAATCTCTTTGGAGAACGAGTTCTTCACATCTGCCTCTGGACCATTACTAAAATGGTTTCAGTAACACAACACTATCAGCCAAGATGAGAATGTGGACTTAAAAACCCCATTTCAACTCAACCTGATCTGTAGTTCAAGTAGGAAGATAAAGGGTAAGGAGAAATAAAAGCCCATTCAATTTCCATTAGCATAAATAAAAATTATTTATTGTAATATTAAATACGAATTTTACACAAAAGTCATTATTGATTGGCAATGGGCTTGTAAGATCATCTGTACTATCCTTTTTGTTTGTTGAATCCAGCAAGGCTGGCTCTATTTCAGAATTTTCGGAAGTATTAATAAAAATATGTCTAGTGAAGACAAAAGGTATTTACATTCTTTTCTAAG